TGCAGTAATTTAATTTATTACATTGTTTTTCGAATTTCTGGTTATTAATAATAATAATTGTTTAAAATATTTGTTACAGTATTTTTTATTGATTTTATATGATGTGATATTGAAATGACGTGTTCGATATTTTAGAATTAGTCACATAATATTTTCTTTGAATATATATTAATCATACAACCTTTGTACTGTAAGTTATTGACAGATGATTGAAGATTAAAAATACAAACCTAATGTATATACTGAGCAGTAGTGCTTGTTATCTAATATCATAGAATAGGAAAAATGAAATGAAGAAAAAAAAAACTTTTACTATCTCAGTGTAAACGTGTTTTCAATTATACTTTTTTCATTATTGTATATATACGAAATATAAGACAACTAAATGAAGTGTATTATGTCGAGTAATGTCACAGAACACACCTTATTCTGTAACACACCTTTCATATATTGTACAGTAGCAAAAAAAAAAATTAGGAAAAAGTTCTGTTGATCTTGTATATGTATTCATTAAATTTTTTAAAAAAAAATGTTAAGTTTGGAAGTAAATTTGTTTTATTCTAAATATTCGATTTTGTAAGGATGTTAAAAAATACTTTAGTTAGAGCAGGGAAGCGTTTCTGAAATCAATGGCTGGCCTATATAGCTCAGTTTTACAATTGCGATTCTAAAATAGATTATGTTTGTAATCTTGATCCACAATAGACGGTATAATGATGACTTAAAAATATAGTACAAATTCAACTGAACTACATGCAAGCCTAGAAGTTAAAACTGGCATCCCCAACAATTAGGCTGTAACTTCCTATATTTGAAGTATAATGCTGGCATAACGTATACTAACTTATTTACACGAAATAGATTAAATCATAACTCTCTAGCTTTACTTCACTTCAGTACATCACATTACTAGCACTTTGTCTCAAAAAAATATGTGCAGATTTTTTTTTTATTTATATAATGCTATATAATATAAGTTTAGAGAAACTGCTTAGTTTTATATAAAGATACTATGAGTAATATTGAACCACACGTTGGATTTTGAAAATCTTCACTAAACTAATTTGAAAATTAATTTCAAATTAAAATTAGTTGCAAACTAATTCGATTTTTTAAGCATGAGTTATAGATTTTTTTTAGATCGCACAGTTTATAGATCTGCAGAAGACGACTTTGAGTATAGAAGACTAGTATTATATTAAAAATTATATCACGAGTCATCCTTTTCTTAATTATAGGATTAAATCCTGTTTTGTTACAACAATTGAATTGGATATATTTATGTAAAATGAGTGTTTCTCCATATATCACTTCTTCATAAACAAATTTTACATTTTATTGTTTAAAAAAACATTATATTAGAACCCTCATACAGCTTCATCTCTGATAAGTTTATGCATATATCTTTAATGTTTAAGCAACAATTTTTGTATTAAGTCTACTTAAATATAGATGTAATATATATCTATATATAACAGATATTAAGATATAGAAATAGACATTATTTAAAAAATAATATTTAAAAGAAAAAACTGCTATGAGCAAAATATTAGTCATAAAGATTTTCAATTATCTGATAACCTGATATCCTTTTTAATATATTTTTATAGACTGAAATTAAGTTATTATAAAGATTTTATAATTATAATCAAAGATGATATTTTAAATTAAGTTTTCGTTTAACTATAACAGCTGATATGGAAATGGTTAATAATATCAAGCATGTACGTACCATAAAACGTACCAAAGAGGCCACATTTGAAGAATTTTTCTTAACAAAAACTAATGAAGGAACTAAAAACTGATTCAAATGTAATGACTGTTAAGATTCTTCTGAATTTCTGTTCATTGGATCGCTTTTATTTTTGTTTATTAGGACACATTTTCAGCGAGCCACCTTTTAATATGCTCCCAAAGGTGTCGATCCTAAGGGATATCAAGTGTTAAAGTAACTACCAAAGAACATAAGTGTCTAAATATTTTTATATCAAAATCTGGAACTAGAGCAATGACATTTTGTGCAGCCTTGGCTAATTGTGGATAAACTTCAAAGCCTGGCACTTGCAAACAAATTATAATCGGACTATAAACAATTAAAAACTTCGATTATTTCCTAACACCACTGATGATGAGTACTTGGCAATATTCAAAACAGTGTTGTATGGTAAGCCAAATTTCAATAAATTAACTATATTTTTGTGTCTGTACATTCTTTCTTTACTATTCCAAAAACTTCTAAATTTAAAAAAAAAAGCTTCTTTAAAATATTTCGGTCTAATCAAAATAATCTAACCAATTGATGAGTAGTTTCTTAAATTTTATCGATACAATTTTTTAGTTGCATTTAAAGGCAAAGTTTTTATTATCAAGCTTAGTTATAATTCCATAGATAGATAGATACTTGTTGCAAATGCAGTTAGTTAGGAAAATGTTAAAAATTTTTCCACGTTTCTGTTTAATTTCAAATTTTATTTTCCACTTCATAGAGTTTAAACTGCTTAGCAAAATTAATGCAAAACATAAAAACTAATTCCTACTTTCAGTTTTTATTCCCTCCAATAGAGACACGTTCATGCACTTGCAACTCTGCCACTCCATTCACTGCATAAGTGTAGTTCAATTGCACTACAAACTGAAAATTGTATCTTAAATTCTTTATGGCTTTCGGTTGAGGAAGAATTTTCAAAAAGATCCTCATTTAAGATAAAATTTATGTGGAGTAAACTGCCTTGAGTGAACGAACCAACACGCTTTCCATTTTTAAGCATTTTTTTGCATTTATTTTCAATTTTTATGACTTAAAATCGCTTTAAATTGATTAGAAAATTTTTACCAAAGGCGCATTGAAACACAAAGAGTCCAAAGCAGATTAAGCTTATTAATTTTGTAAAAAAAAAAAAAATATTATTACGTTTGAAAAATAAAAAGTATAAAATATGAAAAATGAAAAATGTTTGACTTGAGGTCGAACTTATTAGCAACAACAACCTACAAATATATTTGACTTAAAACATTAAATTTCGCTAAAATATTAGTAAAAAATGAGTTCGACTAAAAAATGAGTTTGTCGAAAAAAAAAAGTATCTATCTATCTGCCAAATAACGACGTAGTACCGTAAAAGTGTGGCTCCGAAACTAAGTTGTGCAGGCGTATAATTTGCCTGTCAAGTGTACTCATGTGGGTGGTTCCACAGCTACTCAGGCAATTTTTTGGTAGCAGCTACCTAAACGCCAACTTTAATATCTGCGGCAATGTTGGAGAACAAAAATAATACAATTTTTTTATGAATTGTCTTATAGTCGTAGCTTATCTTATAGATGCTTATCACATGAATTATTTAAGCAACAAAAAGTACTTGAAGCGTTAATAATAGAAAAACACTGGAAAAAACATACGTGCGCTTGTGCCTGCCATCGCAGACAAA